CATAGAACACCGGGACAAAAAACATCAGTCTGATTAGCAACAGCTAGTGGTGACAACTTCTTCTTCTGCATGTGAAAGCTNAGTTGCTGCTACTCATAAATGGTTGGCTGAGGCTCAAGGTTGCTCATCTGGTGTTGCCGATGATAAGAAAATTAGAGTAAAATAATAATGAAGCTAAACCAAAGACTGACCAGATTGGAGCCACTAACATCCATCTCAAGATTGGGAGTCAATGTGTGCATTTGATTTGCACTATAAAGCAGAGGAGGATCCAGGATTCTAGGAGATCAGGGGCCAAGAGGATGAAGATGAGAGTGAAGAATTTCTTATAAATCCCGTTCTAATGTAGAATATGGCAGACTACTGGATTAAAGACATTTCTAATATATTACATGCTATCAACAATTCCCCGTCCATAACATGGGAAGAAAGTAATTCACCTGCAAGTCTTTAACTGTGTTTATTCCTCTCTTCATCAACAAAAAACTCTGTGAATTTGGTGACATTTGATCATTATTTGCTAAAGTTATGAGAGGAGAATCATATATTTTAAGCACCTGATATAATCGGTCTCCCCCATCATATGGGAAAAAAATAAAGAAATCCTGTGAATTTTGAAACGTCATTATTTTTCTATATTATGTTAGAAACATTTATTATTTTACATTTTGAGATCCAAAAAAGTTAAAATAAATATGATTGTTGGTTTGATGAACTTTATGAAACATATTTTCAATTCTCAATTCAAATGTCTGCAGTAGCATTGCTCCAGACATTTTGAATTGAGAAATCTTTCTGGATGGAAAGAGAAACATCTTCCAACTTGGAAAACAAAGTCCAGTGTTTCTGGTTTGAACTTTTTTTTTGAATATTTGTAAATTGTTAGATAAACATTTAAACAGAAAATACATTTAATAAATATCATCAAAGGGGTAACAGATTATATCAGGTGGCTAAAATATATGATTTCCCTCTCATAACTTTAGCAAATAATGATCAAATGTCATTAAATCCACAGAGTTTGTTGTTGATGAAGAGAGGAATAAACCCAGTTAAAGACTTGCAGGTGAATTAATTTAATCCCATGTTATAGAGGAGGAACGGATTATTTCAGGCAGCGGAAATATCCATTCTCTCCTCCTCCAATATGTTTGGGAAATAAAGAGGAACTGTGTCCAAATTCTCAAAAACTGTTATGTGTGATATCCTGCCGTATACTAGAAAAGTCCTTAATCCAGTAATCTGTGATAGATTAGAACGGGATTTACCAGAAAGTCTGAACTCTCATCTTTTCAGGAACTCTTAATTTCTGTGTCCTGCTATCAGCCAGTTTCCATCCTCTTATATCAGTAATGAAATATTATAAATACTCACTATGTGTTGGAAAACTGTGTTTGGTGACTGACTTTTATTTTTCAGGTTTAACTGAAGGAAGTTGGAAAAAGACAGATTCTATTGCCGTTAAAAAAACACACAAAACAACGTAAAAAGGACCTCATCTATTTATTTATTTATTTTACAATTCTATAAACAACAGCTGCTGATTAAACTGGATGTTAAAATGATTATAGGAGTTGTTTTTAGCGAGAATTTCATAGAACACCGGGACAAAAAACATCAGTCTGATTAGCAACAGCTAGTGGTGACAACTTCTTCTTCTGCATGTGAAAGCT